GGATTTGGGGTGCTGGGTGTCTCTGTATTGGGTTTGGGGTGCACTGGGGTGTCCCTGCACTGGGTTTGGGGTGCTGGGGTGTCCCTGCACGGGATTTGGGGTGCACTGGGGTGTCCCCGTGCCGTGATTTGGGGTGCTGGGGTGTCCCCATGCCGTGATTTGGGGTGCTGGGGTGTCCCTATACTGGATTTGGGGTGCTGGGGTGTCCTTGTGCTGTGATTTGGGGTGCTGGGGTGTCCCTGCACGGGGTTTGGGGTGCTGGGGTGTCCCTGTGCTGTGATTTGGGGTGCACTGGGATGTCCCTGCACGGGGTTTGGGGTGCTGGGGTGTCCCTGCACGGGGTTTGGGGTGCTGGGGTGTCCCCGTGCCGTGATTTGGGGTGCTGGGGTGTCCCTGTGCTGGGATTTGGGGTGCTGGGGTGTCCCTTCACAGGGTTTGGGGTGTCCCTGCACGGGGTTTGGGGTGCTGGGGTGTCCCTGCACTGGGTTTGGGGTGCACTGGGGTGTCCCTGCACTGGGTTTGGGGTGCTGGGGTGTCCCTGTGCCGTGATTTGGGGTGCACTGGGGTGTCCCTGCACTGGGTTTGGGGTGCTGGGGTGTCCCTGCACGGGGTTTGGGGTGCTGGGGTGTCCCTGTGCCGTGATTTGGGGTGCTGGGGTGTCCCTGCACTGGGTTTGGGGTGCACTGGGGTGTCCCTTCACGGGGTTTGGGGTGCTGGGGTGTCCCTGTGCCGTGATTTGGGGTGCTGGGGTGTCCCTGCACTGGGTTTGGGGTGCACTGGGGTGTCCCCGTGCCGTGATTTGGGGTGCTGGGGTGTCCCTGCACGGGGTTTGGGGTGCACTGGGTTTGGAGTGCATCAGGATTTGGGGTGCTGGGGTGTCCCTGTGCCGTGATTTGGGGTGCACTGGTGTGTCCCTGTACTGGGTTTGGGGTGCACTGGGGTGTCCCTGTGCCGTGATTTGGGGTGCACTGGGGTGTCCCCGTGCCGTGATTTGGGGTGCTGGGGTGTCCCTGTGCCGTGATTTGGGGTGCTGGGGTGTCCCTGTGCTGTGATTTGGGGTGCTGGGGTGTCCCTGCACGGGGTTTGGGGTGCTGGGGTGTCCCTGTGCCGTGATTTGGGGTGCTGGGGTGTCCCTGCACGGGGTTTGGGGTGCTGGGGTGTCCCTACTGGGTTTGTGGTGCTGGGGTGTCCCTGCACGGGGTTTGGGGTGCACTGGGGTGTCCCTGCACTGGGTTTGGGGTGCTGGGGTGTCCCTGCACTGGGTTTGGGGTGCACTGGGGTGTCCCTTCACAGGGTTTGGGGTGCTGGGGTGTCCCTGTGCCGTGATTTGGGGTGCTGGGGTGTCCCTGTGCCGTGATTTGGGGTGCTGGGGTGTCCCTGCACGGGGTTTGGGGTGCTGGGGTGTCCCCGTGCCGTGATTTGGGGTGCACTGGGGTGTCCCTGCACTGGGTTTGGGGTGCTGGGGTGTCCCTGCACGGGGTTTGGGGTGCACTGGGGTGTCCCTGCACTGGGTTTGGGGTGCTGGGGTGTCCCTGTGCCGTGATTTGGGGCTGTGGGAGCCGCCAGGGCTGGGACTGCGTCAGGGGGAGCCTCGTGCCAGTGGGGGGGGGGTCACACCTGTGTCACCTGTGTCACACCCCTGTGGGGGTCACACCTGGGTCACACCTGTGGGTGTCACACCTGCGGGTGCCACTCCTGGGTCACCCCTGGGTCACACCCCTGGGTCACCCCTAGGTCACACCTTTGTCACACTCCTGTGGGTGTCACACCTGGGTCACCCCTGTGGGTGTCACACCTGGGTCACACTCCTGGGTCACTCCTAGGTCACACCTGTGTCACACTCCTGTGGGTGTCACACCTGGGTCACACCCCTGGGCCACACCTGGATCATTCATGTCACACCCCTGGAGTGTCACACCCCTGGGTCACACCTGGGTCACTCCTGTCACACCTCCTGTGGGTGTCACATCTGGGTCACTGCACCCTGTCACCCTATGGGTGTCACACCCCTGGGTCACATCTGGATCATCCATGTCACACCCCTGTGGGTGTCAAACCCCTGGATTACCCCTGGGTCACCCCTGGTCACACTTGTCACACCCCTATGGGTGTCACCCCGGGTCACACCCCTGGGTCACACTCCTGGGTCACCCCTGGGTCACACGCGTCACACCTGTGGTGTCACCCTGGGTCACACCTGGGTCACTCCCTGGTGTCACACCCCTGGGTCACACCTCTGGGTCACACCAATCCATGTGGGTGTCACCTCTGGGTCACCCCTGTCACACCCATGTGGATGTCACACCTCTGGGTCACATGTCACACCCTGGGTCATCCTGTCGCCTTGTCAGACCCCTGTGGGTGTCACACCTGGGTCACACCCATGGGTCACACCTTTGTCACGCTCCTATGGGTGTCACCCCTGGGTCACACCCCTGGGCCACCCCTGTCACACCTGTGGGTGTCACACCTGGGTCACACCCTCGGGTGACCCTTTGGTCACACCTGTCATACCCCTGTGGGTGTCACACCTGGATCACCCCTGTCACACCCCTGTGGGCGTCATCCCTGGGTCACACCCCTGGGTCACTCCTGTCACACCCCTGTGGGTGTCACACCTGGGTCACACCCCTGGGTCACCCCTGTCACACCTGTGGGTGTCACACCTGTGTGTCACATCTGGGTCACCCCTGGGTCACCCTTGTCACACCCCTGTGGGTGTCAAACCTGGGTCACACCCATGGGTCACACCTGTCACACCTTTGTCACACCCCTGTGGGTGTCACACCTGGGTCCCACTCATCACACCCGTGTCACACCCATCTGTTGTGCTCAGCTCACAGCTGTCACACCCCTGGGGGTGTCACACCTGGGTCACTCCTGTCACACCCCTGTGCACAGGTCACACCCCCTGTCACTCCTGTCACACCCCTGTGGGGTGTCACACCTGGGTCACACCCCTGGGTCACACCTGGGTCCCACTCATCACACCCATGTCACACCTATCTGTTGTGCTCAGCTCACAGCTGTCACACCCCTGTGCACAGGTCACACCCCCTGTCACTCCTGTCACACCCCTGTGGGTGTCACACATGTCACGTGCCCATCACACACCTGTCACGCACCTGTCACGCACTTGTCATGCACCTGTCACACACCTGTCACACACCTGTCCCCAGTCTGGTGTGGTGAGGGTGGAGGGTGATGAACTGGGGGGTGACCCCCGTGTGACACTGTCCCCTGTGCCCAGCCTGGTGTAGGGGAGAGGTCTGTGATGGACAGGGAGGTGACACTCATGTGACACTGTCCCCTGTTGTGTAGGGGGGGTGTTTGAGGGGTCTGTGAGGGACAGGGAGGTGACACTCATGTGACACTGTCCCCTGTGTGACACTGTCCCCTGTCCCCAGCCTGGGGGGTGTGGGGGGTCTGGGATGGAAAGGGGGATGACACCCGTGTGGCACTGTCCCCTGTCCCCAGCCTAGGGGGTGTGGGGGGTCTGGGATGGAAAGGGGGATGACACCCGTGTGGCACTGTCCCCTGTCCCCAGCCTGGGGTGTGTGGGGGTCTCTGAGGGACAGGGGGGTGACACTCATGTGACACTGTCACCCATGTGACACTGTCCCCTGTCCTCAGCCTGGTGTAGGGGAGAGGTCTGTGATGGACAGGGAGGTGACACTCATGTGACACTGTCCCCTGTCGTGTATGGGGGGTGTTTGAGGGGTCTGTGAGGGACAGGGAGGTGACACTCATGTGACACTGTCACCCGTGTGACACTGTCCCCTGTCCCCAGCCTGGGGTACGGGGGGTGTTTGGGGGGTCTGTGATGGACGGGGGGGTGACACTCATGTGACACTGTCCCCTGTTGTGTATGGGGTGTTTGGGGGTCTGTGGGGGTCAGGGGTGACACTCATGTGACACTGTCCCTTGTCCCCAGCCTGGTGTACAGGGGGTGTTTGGGGGTCTGTGATGGACAGGGGGTGACACTCATGTGACACTGTCCCCTGTCCCCAGCCTGGTGTACAGGGGTGTTTGGGGGTCTGTGGGGGTCAGGGGTGACACTCATGTGACACTGTCCCTGTCCCCAGCCTCGGGGTGTTTGGGGGTCTGTGAGGGACGGGGGTGACACCTGTGTGACACTGTCCCCTGTCCCCAGCCTGGTGGAGGGGGTGTTTGGGGGTCTGTGATGGACAGGGGGTGACACTCATGTGACACTGTCACCCATGTGACACTGTCCCCTGTGCCCAGCCTGGTGTACAGGGGGTGTTTGGGGGTTTGTGAGGGTCAGGGGTGACACTCATGTGACACTGTCCCCTGTTGTGTATGGGGGTGTTTGGGGGTCTGTGGGGGTCAGGGGGTGACAGGCGTGTGACACTGTCCCCTGTCCCCAGCCTGGGAGTGTTTGGGGGTCTATGAGGGTCAGGGGTGACACTCATGTGACACTGTCCCCTGTCCCCAGCCTGGTGTACAGGGGGTGTTTGGGGGGTCTGTGAGGGTCAGGGGGGTGACACTCATGTGACACTGTCCCCTGTTGTGTGTGGGGGGTGTTTGGGGGGTCTGTGAGGGTCAGGGGGGTGACACTCATGTGACACTGTCCCTTGTCCCCAGCCTGGGGTACAGGGGGTGTTTGGGGGTCTGTGAGAGGTCAGGGGTGACACTCATGTGACACTGTCCCTTGTCCCCAGCCTGGGGTACAGGGGGTGTTTGGGGGTCTATGAGGGTCAGGGGGGTGACACCCGTGTGACACTGTCCCCTGTGCCCAGCCTGGGGTGTTTGGGGGGTCTGTGATGGACAGGGGGGTGACACTCATGTGACACTGTCCCCTGTCCCCAGCCTGATATACAGGGGGTTGTTTGGGGGTCTGTGAGGGTCAGGGGGTGACACTCATGTGACACTCATGTGACACTGTCCCCTGTCCCCAGCCTGGGGTACAGGGGGTGTTTGGGGGGTCTGTGATGGACAGGGGTGGTGACAGGCGTGTGACACTGTCCCCTGTCCCCAGCCTGGTGTACGGGGGCTCGCGGGGGTCCCACCCTGACCCCGACCTGCTGCACCGGCAGCCCTACGGAGCCCCCCACCCGCTGCAGGGCTATGCGGCCAATCACCACCCCCCAGGTACGGCCCGCGGGCACCTGCTGGCACCTGCTGGCACCCTGTGTCACCCACTGGCACCTGCTGGCACCCTGTGTCACCCACTGTCACCTGCTGGCACCCTGTGTCACCCACTGTCACCTTGTGTTACCTGCTGTCACCCTGTGTCACCCGCTGGCACCTGCTGGCACCCTGTGTCACCCACTGTCACCTTGTGTCACCTGCTGTCACCCTGTGTCACCCGCTGGCACCTGCTGTCACCCTGTGTCACCCACTGTCACCTTGTGTAACCTGCTGTCACCTCCTGTCACCTGCTGTCAACCTGTCACCTCGTGTCACCTGCTGTCACCCTGTGTCACCCACTGTCACCTGCTGGCACCTGCTGGCACCCCGTATCACCCCGTGTCACCTGCTGGCACCCACTGTCACCTGCTGTCACCCACTGTCACCCTGTGTCACCCACTGTCACCTGCTGGCACCTCGTGTCACCTGCTGTCACCCTGTGTCACCCGCTGTCACCACCTGGCACCTGCTGTCACCCGCTGGCACCTGCTCTCGGCTGCTGGCACCCTGTGTTACCTGTTGTCACACTGTGGCACCTGCTGGCACCCTGTGTCACCCACTGTCACCTTGTGTTACCTGCTGTCATCTCGTGTCACCTGCTGTCACTCTGTGTCACCCACTTTCACCACCTGGCACCTGCTGTCACCCACTGGCACCTGCTCTCGGCTGCTGGCACCCTGTGTTACCTGTTGTCACGCTGTGGCACCCACTGGCACCCCGTGTCACCTGCTGGCACCATGTGTCACCTGCTGTCACTATGTGTGACCTGCTGTCACTCTGTGTCACCCACTGGCACCATGTGTCACCTGGTGTCACCCACTGGCACCTGCTGTCATCCCTTGTCACCCGCTGTCACCCCATGTCATCTGCTGTCACCCCGTGTCACCTGCTGTCACCCTGTGTCACCCACTGTCACCTTGTGTCACCTCTTGGCACCCTGTGTCACCTGCTGTCACCCCGTGTCACCCACTGGCACCACCTGTCACCCAGTGTCACCTCTTGGCACCCTGTGGCACCTGCTGGCACCACCTGTCACCTGCTGGCACCCTGTGTCATCCACTGGTACCCCGTGTCACCCACTGGCACCACCTGTCACCCAGTGTCACCCGCTGGCACTATGTGTCACCTGCTGTCACCTGCTGTCACCCTGTGTCACCCCAACACCTGACCCTGCGTCACCTCGGGGCACCCAGTGTCACCCAGAGACAGTTGGGGGACCCCCGATCCCCGGGGGCTGTGACCCCCTGCCCCTGTGTCCCCGTGCCACCCCGACCCGGTGTCACCCCGACCTCGCGTCACCCTGATCTTGTGTCACCCTGGGACATCGTGCTCTGTCACGTTCCCTGCAATTTTCCCCTCGCTTTTCCCTCTCTTTTCCCCTCAAATTTCCCGCTCTTTTCTCCTCACATTTCCCACCCTTTTCCCCTCACGTTTCCTGCCATTTTCCCCTCACGTTTTCCTCCCTTTTTCCCCTCACATTTTTCTCCCTTTTTCCCTCACATTTTCCTCCCTTTTCCCTTCAAGTTTCCTTCCCTTTTCTTCTCACGTTTCCTTCAATTTTTCTGTCACATTTCCTACCATTTTTTCTCAAGTTTTTCTTTGTTTTCTGCTCAGATTTCCCACGCTTTTGGTCTCACGTTTCTTTTTCTTTTCTCTTCACATTTCCCGCCATATTCCCTTCACGTTTCCACCTTTATCCCTTCATGTTTCTTTTAATTTTTCCCTCAGATTTCCCACCCTTTTTCCTTCACATTTCCCTCGGTTTTCCTCTCACATTTCCCACTTTTTTCCCCTCATGTTTCTCTGGTTTTTTCTCCTTCCGTTTCCCACTCTTTTTCCCTCACGTTTCCTGCCATTTTCCCTTCACATTTCCACCCTTTTCCTTTGACATTTCTCTTAATTTTCCCCTCAGATTTTTCACTCTTTTTCCCCTCACGTTTCCCGCTCTTTTCCCCTCACGTTTCCCACTCTTTTCCCCTCACGTTTCCCGCCATTTTCCCCTCACGTTTCCCACTCTTTTCCCCTCACGTTTCCCGCCATTTTCCCCTCACCTTTCCCGCCATTTTTCCCCTCACGTTTCCCACTCTTTTCCCCTCACGTTTCCCGCCATTTTCCCCTCACGTTTCCCGCCATTTTCCCCTCACGCTTCCCGCCCTTTTCCCCTCACATTTCCTGCCATTTTTCCCCTCACGTTTCCCGCCATTTTGCCCCCCCATTTCCACGTTTTTCTTTTTACATTTCTCTTAATTTTTTTCTCACATTTTGTACTCTTTTTCCTTTCACGTTTCTCTTAATTTTCTTCTCACATTTCCCACTCTTTTTCCTTTCACATTTCTCTTAATTTTCTTGTCCCGTTTCTTGCCCTTTTCACCTCATGTTTTCCTGCTTTTTCCCCTTACTCCCAACCCCTGCCCCCCCAGTTTGGGGTCCACCCTCACCGTGGCCCTTTGTCCCCACGTCACCGTGTCCCCGTGTCACCCTGACCTCGTGTCACCCCATCCTCGTGTCACCCCCACATCCCTGTGTCCCTTTGTCACCGTGTCACCCCAACCCCACGGCACCGTGTTCCTGCACTCTCTCTGTACCCCCACGTGTGTCCCCGTGTCCTGAGGGGTCACAGTGTCCCTGTTCCCGTGGTCACTCTGAGGTGTCCCCTGTCCCGGGGGGGGGTCATGGCCATGGTGTCCCCGAGGTGTCCCCAAGATGTCCCCGAGGTGTCCCCAAGATGTCCCCAGGGCTGCATCACGTGGAGTCCCCCCAATCTGTCCCCCTGAGGTGTCCCCTGTCCCTGGTGGGGTCATGGCTATGGTGCCCCCATGTCCCCCTTGTGTCCCCAAAATGTCCCAGAGGTGTCCCCACAGGTGTCCCCTGTCCCCAGGGCTGTCGGGGCTCTTCGAGACGGGGCTGCACCACGCGGGGTCCCCCCAGTCTGTCCCCCCTGAGGTGTCCCCTGTCCCTGGTGGGGTCACGGCCATGGTGTCCCCGTGTACCCCTTGTGTCCCTGAGGTGTCCCCAAGGTGTCCCCTGTCCCTGGGGGGCTCATGGCTGCGGTGTCCCCAAACCCTTGGGTCCCCCGTGGTGTCCCTGAGGTGTCCCCTGTCCCTGGTAGGGTCACGGCCATGGTGTCCCCATGTCCCTCTGGTGTCCCTGAGGTGTCCCAAAGGTGTCCCCAAGGTGTCCCCTGTCCCCAGGGCTGTTGGGGCTCTTCGAGACGGGGCTGCACCACGTGGGGTCCCCCCAATCTGTCCCCTGAGGTGTCCCCTGTCCCTGGTAGGGTCACGGCCATGGTGTCCCCATGTACCCCTGGTGTCCCTGAGGTGTCCCCAAGGTGTCCCCTGTCCCTGGCGGGGTCACGGCCATGGCATCTCTGAGGTCCTGGTGTCCCTGAGGTGTCCCCAAGGTGTCCCCTGTCCCTGGTGGGGTCACAGCCATGGTGTCCCCGTGTACCCCTGGTGTCCCTGAGGTGTCCCCAAGGTGTCCCCTGTCCCCAGGGCTGTCGGGGCTCTTCTGAGACGCGGGTGCACCCGCTGAGGTCCCCCCAATCTGTCCCCCCTGGGGTGTCCCCTGTCCCTGGAGGGTCATGGCCATGAAGCCCTGTGTCCCCGGGTGTCCCTGAGGTGTCCCTGCAAGGTGTCCCCTGTCCCTGGCGGGGCCACGGCCATGGCGTCCCTGCGGTGGTCCCTTGGTGTCCCTGAGGTGTCCCCAAGGTGTCCCCTGTCCCCAGGGCTGTCGGGGCTCTTCGAGACGGGGCTGCACCACGCAGGGTCCTCCCAATCTGTCCTTCCTGAGGTGTCCCCTGTCCCTGAGAGGGGGTCATAGCCATGGTGTCCCTGTGTACCCCTGGTGCCCCTGAGGTGGTCCCTGCAGTCCCCTGTCCCTGGTGGGGTCATGGCTATGGTGCCCCCATGTCCCCCTTGTGTCCCCAAAATGTCCCTGAGGTGTCCCTGAGGTGTCCCCTGTCCCCAGGGCTGTCGGGGCTCTTCGAGACGGGGCTGCACCACGCGGGGGGCGCGGCCCCCGACGCCTCGGTGATGAACCTGATCTCGGCGCTGGAGTCGCGGGGCCCCCAGCCCGGCCCCTCGGCCTCCTCCCTCCTGTCCCAGTTCCGCACCCCCTCCTGGCAGACCGGTGGGTCTGGGGGGGCACCCACTCTGGGGGGGGGTCGTGTACCCTCGGAGGAGGGGGTTATCCTGCCCTAGGGGGGGTCTCCTCCTGCACTGGAGGGTCCTACTTGTGAGCGTTGTGCCCTTGGGGGGGTCTTATCCTGCATGGGGGGCTTGTTCTGCTCTTGGGGGGGGGGTCCCCACTCACCCCAGGGACCTTCTGTTTATCTGAGGGGGGAGGTGCCCAGTCACCCAAAGAGGGTCCCCACGTACCCCAGGGACCTTCTGCTTGCCCTGGGGGGGTCCCAATTACCCCAGGGGGGGTCCTCACTTACTCTAGGGGGGTCCCCAATTACCCCAGGGGTCTCCACTTACCCTAGGGGTGTCCCTACCCACCCCAGGGGGGTTCCCACCCATCCCAGGGGGGTCCCTACCTACCCTAGGGGGGGGGCTCCAGTTATCCCAGGTGGGTCCCCACTTATTCTAGGGGGTTCCCCACTTACCCTGGGGGGTCCCTACCCACCCTAGGGGGGGATCACCCCTTACCCTAGGGGTGTTCTCGTTTACCTCAGGGGGGTCCCCTCTTACCCCAGATGGGTCCCCCCTTACCCTAGGGGGATCCCCCTTACCCTAGGGGGTCCCCCTACCTAGGGGATCCCCCTACCCTAGGGGGGTCCCCCCTTACCCCAGATGGGTCCCCCCTTACCCCAGGGGGATCCCCCTTACCCTAGGGGGGTCCCCCCTTACCCCAGATGGGTCCCCACTTATCCCAGGGGGGTCCCCCCTTTACCCTAGGGGGGTCCCCCCTTACCCCAGATGGGTCCCCACTTATCCCAGAGGGGGTCCCCCCCTTACCCTAGGGGGGTCTCCCCTTACCCCAGGGGGATCCCCACCCACCCCAGTGGGTTCATACTTACCCAGAGCAGTCCCTACCTGTCCCAGGGAGTCCCCACTTACCCTAGGGGGATCTCCCCTTACCCTAGGGGGATCTCACCTCCTAGGAGGGTTCCCTCACCCCAGGGGGATCCCCGCCCACCCCAGTGGGTTCATACTTACCCAGAGCAGTCCCTACCTGTCCCAGGGAGTCCCCACTTACCTCAGAGGGGTCCCCACTTGCCCCTGGGTGGTCTCCTCCTTCCCCCAGGGCCCTCCCCTCTCTTCCCCACCCCTCAATTTCCCCCCCCATGACCCCCTTTTTCCCTCCCCTCCCCTCCTCCCCAGCCATGCACACCCCGGCGCCTGCCGAGCTCTTCATCTCGGGGGCCCTTCCCGGCTCGGGCACCTTCCCGTCGTCGTCGGCGCTCGGCCCGTACCAGCACCCGGCGTCCTTCGGGGGCCGCAGCTTCCCGGTGGGGTCCCCGCTGAGCCTGCCCGAGGCCGCCTTCAGCCCCGGCTCCAACGGGCTGCTGTCCCCGCACGACCCTCTGCTGCACATCAAGCCGGCGCAGCCCGCCGTGCCCTCCTCGCTGGGCTTCGAGCGCCTGGGCTCGGCCGTGCTGGGCTCGGCGCTGCCGGCGCAGACCCCCCCGTACCGCCCCGCTCCCAGTTCGTCCCAGTTCAACCTGCTGTCCGCGCCGCTGCCCGCGCCGGCCGAGCAGCCCCCGCAGCTCTACAACGCGCCCGTCTTCGGGGGGGCGGCCGGCGCGGCGGCGGGGGGCGGCGGAGCGGGCGGCGGCGGCGGCGGCGACAGGGGGGCCATATCGCGACAGGACAGCGTCATCAAGCACTACCAGCGTCCCGGCGGGGCGCAGCCCCAGCTGCCCCCCGCGCCCGCCCACAGCCTGCAGCACTACCTGAGCTGCGGGGGCTCGTACCAGCAGGTGCCCCCGCACCGCGCCCCGCTGTCCTGCAGCCCCCTGGGCGAGCAGTCGCCCGCCAGCTCCGAGGGCTCGCAGCAGCAGCAGCAGCAGCCCCCCAAGGCCGCGCCGCCCGCCCCCCGGCCCGAGCCGGGCTACCGGCCCATCATCCAGTCGCCCGCCTACTCCGGGGGCAGCGCGGGGGGCAACGGGGCGGCGGCGCCGGGGCGGGCGGGCGGCGCCAGCGAGGAGCAAGTCCAAGAGCTACTCGGCGTCGCGGCAGCCCCCCGCTCCACCAACACCCCCAAGTGCCAGAGCAGCTACACCCCCAGCACGCCCAAGCCCAGCTCCGTCATCGCCAGCCAGTCGCCCGCCTACTCGCCCGGGCAGCCCCCGCAGAGCCTGCTGGCCATGGGGGCCCTGGGCTACAACCCCGGGCCGGGAGCCCCTGAGCCTGGGCGCGGGCGGGGGCAGCCCGCGGGGGGCTTCGCGGGCGGGCAGGGCGGGGAGCTGGGCGGGGGCAAAGCCCCCTCGTACCAGGGCGGGGGTCAGGGCGCGGGGCAGGGGGGGCTCCAGCCCTGCGTCAGCGCGGGGGGCACCTACTCGCCCGAGCAGCTGCAGGCGCTGCCCTACGGCGTGCAGCCCGAGGGCACCCAGCCCGGGGGCTACGGGCCCCCCGCCCCCTCGCAGGGCCTGCCCACCGCCAGCCCCTCGCTCACCTACAGCACCGGCCACTCGCCCGCCATGCCCGGGCCCCCCCTGCCCTACGCCGGCCTGGGGGGCTCCAGCCCCTCGCCCATCATCCGCCCGCTGCAGTCGCCGCCGGCCGCGCGGCCCCAGAGCGGCGCGTCCCCGGGGCAGTCCCAAAAGTACCTGGGCTCCGTCCTGTCGCCCTCCTTCATGGCCCCCCAGCCCTACGGGGGCGCGCCGGGCGGGGGGCTGGAGCGGCAGCCGCCCCCCGCTCCCCCCGGGGCGCCGCCCAGCTTCGGCAAGGGGGCCAAGGGCGACGCGGAGCAGCTGCTGGCGGCCGAGCGCAGCGAGGACGAGGATTTCCTCATCCAGCACCTCCTGCAGGCGCCCAGCCCGCCCCGAGAGGGGCTGGGGGGCTGCGAGGAGCGCGGGGGGCCCGCCAAGGCGCTGGGGGGGTACGGGGGGGCGCTGGGCAAGGAGGAGAGGTACCAGCTGCAGAGCGTCATCCGCCCCAACTCCAACCTGGAGGCGCCGCTGGAGCTGGCGCTGCTCAAGGAGAAGAAGAAGCCCGAGCGGGGCAAGGAGTTCCGCGGCTCGGCCGGGGGGGCGGGCGGCGCCGGCGGGGGGGGCGAGGGGCTGGCGGCCACCTCGGTGGTGCACTACGGCCACCAGCCCCCCCCGGCGCTGGACTCGTACGAGCTGAAGAAGCCCCCCGAGCACCTGGCGGGCGGGAAGGAGCTGGGGCAGCCCCCGCCGCCCCCGCCGCCGCACCCCTACCTGCCCAAGACCCCCGAGCACGGGCGGCTGGTGGGCGAGGGCCCCCCCCTGGAGCCGCACAACCTGCTGCTGGACCCCCCGCCCGAGCTGGGGGGGTCGCTGCTGCCCTCGGTGCTGACCCACACGCAGAGCCAGCTGCACCCCCGGCCCAAGGCCCGGCCGCCCCTCGACGTCCACCTGCTGGAGCAGCAGCGGATGCCCCCCGCCGCCGCCCCCGCCGCCCTCCGCCGCCCCCAGGCCCCCAAGCCCCCCGGCCGCCCCTCCCCGCAGCTGCTGCTGGAAGCCCACCTGCACCAGGTGCGCTCGCAGGGGCTGGACCCGCAGGCCCCCCCGCCGCTGCCCCCCGACTCCATGGAGGTGCTGCCCCCCCCGCAGGAGATCCAGGACTTCCTGGAGCCCCCCCTGGGCCTGGAGCAGCACCTGGGGCAGGGCGCGGGGGTGCAGGGCCCCCCCGGGCACCTGCTGGACCCCGAGGCGGGGGTGCCGCCCGTGCCCCCCGAGGCCAAGGACCAGTTTTCGGAGGGGGGCAGCCCGGCGGGGGGCAAGGGGCGCTTCGTGCCCCTCACCTCCATCTGCTTCCCGGACGCGCTGCTGCAGGACGAGGACCGCGGCTTCTTCCCGGGCATGGAGGACATGTTCGGGCCGCCCCCCGAGGACTTCGCCAAGCCCGCCGAGGACGACGACGATTCCGGCCAGGGCGGGCTGGAGAAACCGCCGCCCCCTCCTCCTCCTCCTCCGCCGCCGCCTCCCCCAGCCGCCCCCTCCTCCGCCGCCCCCTACGACCTGGGGCAGGGCTACCCCCCGTTCTGCGCCCAGGACGGCCCCGGCGCCGGAGACCCCTCCCCGCAGCTGGGGCTGGAGCCCCCCAAGCACGAGCTGCCCTCGACGGTGAACGCGGAGCCGCTGGGGCTGATCCAGAGCACGGGCGAGCCCAAAGCGCCGCCGCCCCCGCCGCCCCCCGCCCCGCTCAGCGCGCCGCTCTTCTGCTCCTCCAAGCCCAAGAAGCTGCTCAAGACCTCGTCCTTCCACCTGCTGCGCCGCCGCGACCCCTTCCCGCCGCCCAAGAAGACCTACGCGCAGGAGTACGAGTTCGAGGACGACGACGACGAGGGCAAGGCGGGCGCGCCCGCCGACATCCGCCTCAACTCCCGCCGCCTGCCCGACCTGCTGCCCGACCTCATCTCCAGCTGCCGCCGCGCCGCCCCCCCGCCCCTGGGCGCGCCCGCGGGCGACATCGACTTCTGCCCGCACCCCGGAGCCCACCCGGGACCCAAGAAACGCGGCCGCAAGCCCACCAAGCCCAAGCGGGAGGGACCCCCCCGGCCCCGGGGGAGGCCCCGGATCCGGCCCCTGGAGCCCCCCCCGGCCTTCCCCGACGGGACGAGGAGGCCGCGGGGACGGGGCAGGGGGCGCGGCAAGAGGGCGGCCGACGACGGGGACCCCGCGGAGCCGCTCCGGCCCCTCAAGGTGAGGGGGGGTGGGTTGGAGTTGGTTGTGGCTCAAAGGGTCCCAAAATGGTCCCAGAAGTTGGGAGTAGTGATGAGTTGGAGGCTCTCAAGGTGAGGGGGAGGAGAAGGGGGACTGATTGGAGTTGGTTGTGGCTCAAAGGGTCCCAGAATGGTCCCAAAAGTTGGGAGTGGTGATGAGTTGGAGGCCCTCAGGGTGAGGGTCAGGAAAGCCCCAGGGATTGCTTGGAGTTGCTCGAGGCTTAAAGTGCCCCAAAAGTTGGTCCCGAATACTTGCTGATGAGTTGGAGGCTCTCAAGGTGAGGGTCTGGTGGGACTTGGGGGTGTTTGGGGGATGCTTGGAGTTGGTTGTGCCTCAAAGGGTCCCAAAATGCCCCAAAAAGTTGGGAGTAGTGATGAGTTGGAGGCCCTCAGGGTGAGGGGGCGGAGAGGGGGGATTGCTTGGAGTTGGTTGTGGCTCAAAGGGTCCCAGAATGGTCCCAAAAGTTGGGAATAACGATGAGTTGGAGGCCCTTAAGGTGGGGGATTGCTTGGAGTTGGTTGTGGCTCAAAGGGTTCCCAAAATGCCCCAAAAGTTGGGGATAACGATGAGTTGGAGGCCCTCAAGGTGAGGGTCTGGGGGTGTTTGGGGGCTCCCCATGATTTATTGTCCCTCAAAGGGTCCCCAAATGCCCCAAAAGTTGGGATTGGCAACAGACCTGGAGACTTCAAGGGGACGGTTTGGGGGCATGGGGAGGTCCTGGGGGGTCACTGGGGTCACTGGGGGTTACTGGGGGGTCACTGGGGTCACTGGGGAGTTACTGGGGGTCACAGGTCCATCCTAACCCCCCCCATTCCCCCCCCCAGATCAAACTGGCCGTGTCCAGGGGGGTCACTGGTGATACTGGGAGGGTCAATGGTGATACTGGGGGGGTCACTGGTGATACTGGGAGATCACTGGTGATACTGGGGGGATCACTGGTGATACTGGGGCGTTACTGGGGGGTCACTGGTGATACTGGGGGGGTCACTGGTGATACTGGGGAGGATCACTGGTGATACTGGGGCGTTACTGGGGGGTCACTGGTGAGTCACTGGGGTCACTGGTCCATCTAACCCCCATTCCCCAGATCAAACTGGCTGTGTTCAGGAGGTCACTGGTGATACTGGGGGTCACTGGTGATACTGGGGAGTCACTGGTGATTACTGGGGAGTCACTGGTGAGTTACTGGGGGTCACTGGCGATCACTGGGGGTTACTGGGGATCACTGGGAGATACTGGGGGTCACTGGGGGTCACTGGAGTCATCCTAACCCCCATTCCTCTCCCCAGATCAAACTGGCCGTGTCCAGGGAGGTCACTGGTGATACTGGGGGGTCACTGGTGATACTGGGAGATCACTGGTGATACTGGGGGGGTCACTGGTGATACTGGGGGGTCACTGGCGATACTGGGGGGTTACTGGGGGATCACTGGAGATACTGGGGGATCACTGGGGGGTCACAGGTCCATCCTAACCCCCCCATTCCCTCTCCCCCAGATCAAACTGGCCGTGTCCAGGGAGGTCACTGGTGATACTGGGAGATCACTGGTGACACTGGGGGGGTCACTGGTGATACTGGGGGGTTACTGGGGGTCACTGGTGATACTGGGGGTTACTGGGGTCACTGGGGGTCACTGGGTCCATCCTAACCCCCATTCCCCGAGATCAAACTGGCCATGTCCAGGGGGTCACTGGTGATACTGGGGGTCACTGGTGATACTGGGGGTCACTGGTGGTACTGGGAGTCACTGGTGATCACTGGGAGTCACTGGGGATACTGGGGGTCACTGGTGGTACTGGGGGTCACTGGTGATACTGGGGGTTACTGGGGGTCACTGGTGATACTGGGGTCACTGGGGTCACTGAGGTCCATCCTAACCCCCATTCCCTCCCCAGATCAAACTGGCCGTGTCCAGGGGGGTCACTGGTGATACTGGGGGGATCACTGGTGATACTGGGGGGGTCACTGGTGATACTGGGGGGTCACTGGTGATCACTGGGGGTCACTGGGGATCACTGGGGGTTACTGGGGTCACTGGGGTCACTGGTATACTGGGGGTCACTGGTCCATCCTAACCCCCATTCCCCCGAGATCAAACTGGCCATGTCAGGGGGTCACTGGTGATACTGGGGGGTCACTGGTGATACTGGGGGTCACTGGTGATCACTGGGAGTCACTGGGGATTACTGGGGGTCACTGGGTAGTCACTGGGGGTTACTGGTGATCACTGGGGGTCACTGGTGATACTGGGGGTCACTGGTGATACTGGGAGATCACTGGTGATCACTGGGGGTCACTGGGGATCACTGGGGGTCACAGGTCCATCTAACCCCCATTCCCCCAGATCAAACTGGCCGTGTCCAGGGGGGTCACTGGTGATACTGGGGGGTCACTGGTGATACTGGGGGGGTCACTGGTGGTACTGGGGGGTTACTGGTGATACTGGGGGGTTACTGGGGATCACTGGTGGTACTGGGGGGTTACTGGTGATACTGGGGGGTCACTGGTGATACTGGGGTCACTGGCGATCCTAACCTCCCATTCCCCCAGATCAAACTGGCCATGTCCAGGGGGGTCACTGGTGATACTGGGGGGTCACTGGAGATACTGGGGAGGTCACTGGTGATACTGGGGGAGTTACTGGTGGTACTGGGGGCTATTGGGGAGTCATGGGGGTCACAGGTCCATCCTAACCCCCCCATTCCCCCCCTGCCCAGATCAAACTGGCCATGTCCAGGGGGGGCATAGGTGATACTGGGGGGTCACTGGAGATACTGGGGGGGTCACTGGTGATACTGGTAGGATCACTGGTGATACTGGGGGGTTACTGGGGGGTCACTGGTGATACTGGGGGTCACAGGTCCATCCTAACCCCCCCATCCCCCCCTCCCCAGATCAAACTGGCCGTGTCCAGGGGGATCACTGGTGATACTGGGGAGGGTCACTGGTGATACTGGGGGGGTCACTGGTGATACTGGGAGATCACTGGTGATACTGGGAGGATCACTGGTGATACTGGGGGGTTACTGGGGGGTCACTGGGGGTCACAGGTCCATCCTAACCCCCCCATTCCCCCTCCCCCCCAGATCAAACTGGCCATGTCCAGGGGGGTCACTGGTGATACTGGGAGATCACTGGTGATACTGGGGGGGGTCACTGGTGGTACTGGGGCGATCACTGGTGATACTGGGAGATCACTGGTGATACTGGGGGGTTACTGGGGGGATCACTGGTGGTACTGGGGGGTTACTGAGGGTCACTGGTGGTACTGGGGGGGTCACTGGTGGTACTAGGGGTTCACAGGTGGTACTGAGGGGTCACTGGTGATACTGGGGGGTCACTGGTGATACTGGGGTGTCACTGGTCCATCCTAACCCCCCCATTCCCCCAGATCAAACTGGCCGTCTCCAAACCCGGCGTCGTCGCCGCCGCCGCCCCCGCCCCCCTCGGCCCCTCCCCCTCCCTCCTCGGCCCCTCCCCGCGCCACCACCCCCTCCCCCTTCCCGGGGGTCTCCCGGAGGGCCCGGCCCGCTGCCGTCGCGGGCCGGGAGCGCATCAAGCAGAAGATCCGCGAGGTGGAGGAGAAGCAGCCGGAGATGAAGTCGGGCTTCATGGCCTCCTTCCTCGACTTCCTCAAGGCGGGCAAGCGCCAGCCCCCTCACCCCCACCCCCAGCAGCCCCCTCCCCATCATCATCATCATCACCACCCCCCTCCCCATCATCATCATCATCATCACCCCCTCCTCCTCCTCCTCCTCCTCCTCCTCCTCCTCCTCCTCCTCCTCCCCCGCTCCCCCGGGCCCGGCAGCCCCTCCTCGGCCAAAGGGCCGGGCCGGGCGGCGCCCCCGCCCTTCGCGGGGGTCCTGGGGGGCTCCCTGGAGGGGGGCGATGGCGACGGGCTGGTCATGGCGTGCCCCTCGCCCTGCAAGCGGCTGGACGAGGAGCTCAAGCGCAACCTGGAGACGCTGCCCTCCTTCTCCTCCGACGAGGAGGACTCGGTCAGCAAGAACCAGGACCTGCAGAAGAGCATCAGCTCCGCCATCTCCGCCCTCGACGACCCCGCCGAGCGCCGCGACCCCCACGACGGCCACGGTGAGGGCAGGAGGGGGGTGGGAGAGGGGGAGGAGAGGATTCCGGGGGGGTCACGGGGAGATTCTGGAACCTTCTGGGGGATCACAGGAGCTTCTGGAACCTTCTGGGAGTCGCGGGGAGCTTCTGGGGGTCATGGGGAGCTTCTGGAACTTTCTAGAGGTCTCGGGGAGCTTCTGGAATTTTCTGGGGGTCACAGGAGCTTCTGGAACCTTCTGGGAGCTTCTGGGGATCACGGGGAGCTTTTGGAAGTCACAGGGAGCTTCTGGAAGCTTCTGGGGGTCACAGCTTCTGGGAGTCACAGGGAGCTTCTGGGGGTCACGGGGAGCTTCTGGAACCGTCTGGAAGTTACAGAGAGCTTCTGGGGGTCATACGGAGCTTTTGGAAGTCACAGGAGCTTCTGGAACTTTCTGGGGGTCACAGGAGCTTCTGGAACCTTCTGGGGATCACAGGGAGCTTCTGGGGGTCACAGGAGCTTCTGGAAGTTACAGAGAGCTCTGGGGCTCATGGGAAGCTTCTAGAACCTTCTGGGAGCTTCTGGGGGTCATGGGGGCTTCTGGAACCTTCTGGGAGTCGCAGGGAGCTTCTGGAACCTTCCGGGGGTCACGGGGAGCTTTTGGAACCTTCTGGGGATCACAGGGAGCTTCTGGAAGTTACAGAGAGCTTCTGGGGGGTCACAGGGAGCTTCTGGAACCTTCTGGGGGTCACAGGAGCTTCTGGAACCTTCTGGGGGTCACAGGGAGCTTCTGGGGGTCATAGGGAGCTTTTGGAAGTCACGGGGAGCTTCTGGAAGCTTCTGGGGGTCATGGGGAGCTTCTGGAACCTTCTGGGGGTCACAGGGAGCTCCTGGGGTCACAGGAGCTTCTGGGGGTCAGAGGGAGCTTTTGGGAGTCATAGGGAGCTTCTGGAACCTTCTGGGGGTCACAGGGACCTTCTAGAACCAAAACGAGTTTCCAGGAGCTTCTGGAAATCATAGAGAGCTTCCTGGATCATTTGGGAGTCACAGGGAGCTTCTGGCGGTCATGGGGAGGTTCTGGAACCTTCTGGGAGTCACGGGGAGCTTCTGGAACCTTCTGAGGGTCACGGGGAGATTCTGGGGGTCACGGGGAGCTTCTGGGGGTCATGGGGAGCTTCTGGAACCTTCTGGGGGTCACAGGAGCTTCTGGAACCTTCTGGGAGTCGCAGGGAGCTTCTGGAAGTTACAGAGAGCTCTGGGGCTCATGGGGAGCTTCTGGAACCTTCTGGGAGCTTCTGGGAGTCACGGGGAGATTCTGGAACCTTCTGGGAGTCACAGGGAGCTTCTGGAACCTTCCGGGGGTCACGGGGAGCTTCTGGAAACTTCCAGAAGTCACCGGGAGCTTCTGGGGGTCATGGGAAGCTTCTGGAACCTTCTGGGAGCTTCTGGGGGTCACGGGGAGCTTCCGGAAGTCACATGGAGGTTCTGGGACCTTCTGGAAGCCATGGGGAGCTTCTGGGAGTCATGGGGAGCTTCTGGAACCTTCTGGGGATCACAGGAGCTTCTGGGGGTCACAGGAGCTTCTGGAACCTTCTGGGGCTCATGGGGAGCTTCTGGGGATCACAGGAGCTTCTGGGGGTCATAGGGGCTTTGGAGTCACGGGAGCTTCTGGAAGCTTCTGGGGTCATGGGGAGCTTCTGAGGAGTCACGGGGAGCTTCTGGAACCTTCTGGGAGTCCCGGGGAGCTTCTGGAACCTTCTGGGAGTCATGGGGAGCTTCTGGAGGCTTCTGGAAGTTACAGAGAGCTTCTGGGGGTCACAGGGAGCTTCTGGAACCTTCTGGGGATCACAGGGAGCTTCTGGGGGTCATGGGGAGCTTCTGGGGGTCACGGGGAGCTTCTGGAACCTTCTGGGAGTCACAGGAAGCTTCTGGAACCTTCTGGGGGTCACAGGGAGCTTCTGGAACCTTCTGGAAGTTACAGAGAGCTCCTGGGGTCACGGGGAGCTTCTGGAACCTTCTGTGAGCTTCTGGGGGTCACGGGGAGCTTCTAGGATGTTCTGGAAATCCCAGGAGCTTCTGGGAGTCCCAGGATGCTTCTGGAACCTTCTGGGAACCGTGGGGAGGTTCTAAAACCTTCTGGGAGCCATAGGGAGGTTCTGGAAGCCACGGGGAGCTTCTGGAACCTTCCAAGCCCCCTCAGTGACCTTCTATCCCCCCTCCCCACCAGCAGACGCCCCCCCACCAGAGGAGGAACCACCCCCACGCCCCCGGCGCCCGGAGCCCCCAGCCCGACCCCCGGCCCGGCCGCGTGACCCCGGCGGGACCCGCCACGCACCCCCTGCGGCCACGGGGACGGCGACAGCGACGGGGGCCACCCCCACCCCCACCCCCACCCCCACCCCCACCAAGGGCTCGACCTCCCGGCGTCCCCCGAGGGCGAGGAGGCCCCTCGGACGCGCGGCGCTGCACCTGGCGCAGAAGCAGGAGACGGCGGCCGTGTGCGGGGACACCAGCGACGAGGAGGCCGAGAGCGGGGGAGAGGGCATCTTCAGGGAGAGGGACGAGTTCGTCGTCAGGGTCGAGGATATCCCTGCACTGAAGGTACTGGGGGCACTGGGGGGGACTGGGAGGGACTGGGAGGGACTGGAGGCATCTTCAGGGAGAGGGACGAGTTCGTCGTCAGGGTAGAGGATATCCCTGCCCTAAAGGTACTGGGGGGGACTGGGAGGGACTGGGAGGGACTGGGAGGGACTGGAGGCATCTTCAGGGAGAGGGACGAGTTCGTCGTCAGGGTAGAGGATATCCCTGCTCTAAAGGTACTGGGGGGGACTGGGGGGGACTGGGAGGGACTGGGAGGGACTGGAGGCATCTTCAGGGAGAGGGACGAGTTCGTCGTCAGGGTCGAGGATATCCCTGCACTAAAGGTACTGGGGGGACTGGGAGAGGACTGGAGAGGGGACTGGGAGGGACTGGAGGCATCTTCAGGGAGAGGGACGAGTTCGTCGTCAGGGTAGAGGACATCCCTGCCCTGAAGGTACTGGGGGCACTGGGAGGGACTGGGACAGACTGGAACAAACTGGGAGTCAGGACATGGCACTGGGAGGCACTGGGAGGGACTGGAGGCATCTTCAGGGAGAGGGACGAGTTCGTCGTCAGGGTAGAGGATATCCCTGCTCTAAAAGTGAGTACTGGGGGCACTGGGACAGACTGGGGGGCACTGGGAGTCACTGGGAGTCAGGACATGGCACTGGGAGGGACTGGAGGCATCTTCAGGGAGAGGGACGAGTTCGTCGTCAGGGTCGAGGACATCCCTGCACTGAAGGTACTGGGGGCACTGGGGGGACTGGGAGGGACTGGAACAAACTGGGAGTCAGGACATGGCACTGGGAGGCACTGGGAGGGACTGGAGGCATCTTCAGGGAGAGGGACGAGTTCGTCGTCAGGGTCGAGGATATCCCCGCCCTCAAGGTACTGGGGGGGACTGGGAGGGACTGGGAGGGACTGGGAGGGACTGGAGGCATCTTCAGGGAGAGGAACGAGTTCGTCGTCAGGGTCGAGGATATCCCTGCCCTCAAGGTACTGGGGGCACTGGGAGGCACTGGGAGGGACTGGGAGGCACTGGGAGTCAGGACATGGCACTGGGAGTCAGGACATGGCACTGGGGGGCACTGGGAGGGACTGGAGGCATCTTCAGGGAGAGGGACGAGTTCGTCGTCAGGGTCGAGGATATCCCCGCCCTGAAGGTACTGGGGGGCACTGGGACAGACTGGGAGGGACTGGGAGTCAGGACATGGCACTGGGAGGCACTGGGAGGGACTGGAGGCATCTTCAGGGAGAGGGACGAGTTCGTCGTCAGGGTCGAGGATATCCCCGCCCTAAAGGTACTGGGGGGGACTGGGACAGACTGGGAGGGACTGGGAGGCACTGGGAGTCAGGACATGGCACTGGGAGGCACTGGGGGGCACTGGAGGCATCTTCAGGGAGAGGGACGAGTTCGTCGTCAGGGTCGAGGATATCCCCGCCCTAAAGGTACTGGGAGGGACTGGGAGGAATGGGGGGCACTGGGGGGGACTGGGGGGGACTGGGAGGCACTGGGACAGACTGGAACAAATTGGGAGTCAGGACATGGCACTGGGAGGGACTGGGAGTCAGGATATGGCACTGGGAGTCAAGACATGGCACTGGGAGGCACTGGGAGGGACTGGAGGCATCTTCAGGGAGAGGGACGAGTTCGTCGTCAGGGTCGAGGATATCCCGCACTCAAGGTACTGGGGGACTGGGACAGACTGGGGGGGACTGGGAGGCACTGGGAGGGACTGGGAGTCAGGACATGGCACTGGGAGTCAGGACATGGCACTGGGAGGGACTGGAGGCATCTTCAGGGAGAGGAACGAGTTCGTCGTCAGGGTCGAGGACATCCCCGCTCAAAGGTACTGGGGGGGACTGGGACAGACTGGAACAAACTGGGAGTCAGGACATGGCACTGGGAGTCAGGACATGGCACTGGGAGGCACTGGGAGGCACTGGGAGGGACTGGAGGCATCTTCAGGGAGAGGGACGAGTTCGTCGTCAGGGTCGAGGATATCCCTGCACTGAAGGTACTGGGGGGCACTGGGACAGACTGGGAGGGACTGGGAGGGACTGGGAGTCAGGACATGCCACTGGGAGGCACTGGGAGGCACTGGGAGGGACTGGAGGCATCTTCAGGGAGAGGGACGAGTTCGTCATCAGGGTCCAGGACATCCCTGCCCTGAAGGTACTGGGAGGGGACTGGGAGGGACTGGGAGGGACTGGGAGGGACTGGGAGTCAGGACATGGCACTGGGAGGCACTGGGAAGGACTGGGAGAGGGAGCAGAGAGCATCTTATGGAAGCAACCCCTCCCCTCTCTGGGGGGCCTGGTGGGTTCCCTTTGGGATTTTCAGGGTTCCCTTTGAGTCTGGGGGGTTCCCTTTGGGATTTTTGGGGTTCCCTGGGTGGGAGGGGATGAGGGAAGATTTTTGGGGTGTATTTTGGGGTGCTGACCCCCCTTTCCCCCCAGCTGGCGCTGCAGACGGGCCGGGAGCCCCCCCCGATCTGGGGGGTTTGGGGGGTTCCCTTTAGGATTGGGACGTTCTCTTTGGAATTTTTGGGGTTCCCTTTGGGATTTTGGGGTTC